AATGACTGATTCTTGACTTTTGATTTAATACATGACTTATTTGGTTTGAAACATGATATCAAGGATTCAAGGAAATCATCTTGACCTAATTTTATGGCTCAAAACATTTCTCAAGATCAGTGGATTGATAGATGAAATTTGGTCAACTGATGAAAAAGTCAATTGTACACTGAAAAGTCAAACTTCAACTTTTTGGTCAACATTAAGTTTCAAAGATCAAAGTTCATCAAGAAATTCAAGAATATCAAGCTTGATCATCAAGAAGTTAAGAAAGTCAAAAGTCAATTTGAAAAGTCAAAACTTTTCAAGACTTAGAAACTTTTCTAAGTGTTTTATACATGTTTATTTCATAACTTCATACCAATTTTTCACCATGATGCAAAATGATTCAAAGGAAACTTTCAACATAAAAGTTGTAGATCTTGATGAATTCTACAACTTTGAGAACCGATACTCAATACGGAGGCATTAAGAATCGATACTCACATGAATACTAAGCCTTAATTTATCTCTAGAATTAAAATCCAATATATGTTCTTCTTAAACCCGGATCCGAACCGTCCATCTCTATAAAATTCCAAATCCAAATAAAGAAATAAATCATCAACATTTATTTATAAAATGAGTTTCATTCAACACCATGAACAATAAATATACATATAATCAAGGTAAATATACATAAAAACTCCAACAAGTAGAGATTACAAAGAGAAGAGAAAAGGAGGAACCAAACAATTTTTGGTTTGTCAACACCAATCGATAAGAGATTCGACTTTAGTTCATCCAATTACAACCTTAAAATTTTGTCTCTAAGCTCTCATAATCAAATAATGAAGGTTTGATGAATTAGGACAAAAAATACCCAATCATAACCTAAAAAAAATGTGTTTTTGACCTAAATATACATTTCAGCCCAACTCGCACTGCCCGACAGTGAAACGGAACCACCCTGCGCTCAAAACAACACTTTTATTGCATTTCACATTTTCGGAGTTCCTCTGCACCGCCGGGCGCCCTCGGGGCGTTGCCTGACAGTAACTTGAAAAAACCAGCACTGTTTCGGCCATAACTGGAAAACCGTAACTCCAATTTGCGTACGGTCGGAAGTGTTGGAAAGCTTATTCAATGATCTATCTAACAATGTCTAAATATAAATTCTTGAATACCTATAAAAATGAGATAAAATCAATTAAACTCAATGATATTTAAACGATAACACAATATATACACTATAACGTAAATTATACTGACTATATATTAAAGTTGAGGTTGATTGACGAAAAGAAAATTAATTAAGCCGATAAGTGATTATTATTCACACTTAAAAACACAATAATTTAGCACTCATTAGTGCTTCCATTTGTGGTGTTGCCTGGGTGCAATATGTTTCAATGTTTTATGTGTTTCCACTGTGTGTGTATATTTACTCCAATTTTTATCAAAATTTTGGCTAAAAAGGGGGAGTAAAGTGTTGTGTTTATTGTGTGTGTCCTGATGTTATATCACATATCTTGACGTGTTGTTTAATATTGTGATATGATTGTGCTACTACTAAGGGGAGTAGCTAGTATTATTGCTTCATAAATGCAACTATTTAGGGGGAGCAAGATAGTTCCATTCTGCTGCTTTTGTGTGCTTCTACTGCTGCTACTGAAGTAGTCAGTTATGCACGATGAGGATGTCTTAACAGATGTTCCAACATCTTGTCTGATATGTGTTGAAAATCCTTTGTATTTCTCTTATGGTGTGGGTTTTTCCTTGTGGGGGAGAATTTATTATGTGTGACAGGGGAAATGTTGAACCTGTCTGTTTTGTAGCTACGGTAACTCTGATGTATATTTTTATGATGTAGTTTGTTTGTCTATTTTATTCCTCTCTCCCGTTTAATTGGGGTTTGATTGTTTTAGCTAAAATTTACCAAAGGGAGAGATTTTTAGTACCATGGTTTTATGATTGACATAATTTTGCTAAAATATGGTTTAAAACAAGGATGTTATGAAAGTTGTTCTAACATGCTAGTCAGGTTCATTTGAAGGCAGATGGTATAACAGATGTTGTGACATCCTGTACCAGAAGATCAGTACAGACTGTGTTTATTCTTGACAAGATTTAAATTGATTTTGTGAGATTCCTTTTGAATTTATCTCACTGATTTTCACAGATCAAGAATATTTAATCTGGAACAGTTGGTTTTATCTCCAGCTGCACACAAGTTACTAAGTTGGGTGTTGAAACAATTTAGGAAACTTGATGTTTTTGTTTCAAGATTTAAGGAGATTTTTCTACACAATTGGTGCATCCCTCAGCTTGAGCAACAAGAAACATCTAGGCGAGGATTCAAGGCCCATGGGTCACTGAGGAGTATTTAAAGAAATTACCTAGACCTATATTTATTAAGAACTTTGTAAAAAATAAGGGGAAACATATTTTTCTTAGTCTTAGGGTTTGAGGGTTCTTCAGTGGAGTTTCTATTTTTTTTGTATGTCCTCATGTATCTTTTGATGCATTTCAGTGAACTGATTGTTACTTGATAATTTGTCAAGTTATTGTTCTCACTCTTTAAGATTTTAAGAAAAAAAGTTTGAATATTGTATTTGAAGTGTAAGATTCTGTTTTAGTTTGGTTTCCAGTCACTGGGATTGTAGTTGTAGATATGATTGCAATGATTGGAAGTGAGAGGGAATTCTCATATCTCGTAGGTTCCTAGGTAAAAATTGTATTGGGTAGGGACTAAGTGGTAAGTTGTAAACTAGGATTGTTTAAGGTTAAAATTAATACTACTAATAATGGATTTCCTTCCTGTCTTGGTAGCCCCCAGATGTAGGTGAGTTGCACTGATTTTTATTAACAATTCTTTGTGTTCTTTTACCTTGTGCATTTAATCTCTGCATTTTTTTTTATTTTGGTAAAAGTTCTGTCAGTCAGCAGATGCCATAACATATGTCATGACATTGTACTTGTGTGTTGAGACATCAGTCTTGACATTTATATTGTGTGTTCCAATATTTCACTCCTTTTGTTTGATGAATTTGAAGTCCTAGAATTAGTTCTCCTGTCATGGACATTTCGAATTCATTATGCATTATTTTAGAAAATTCCTCCACAAAGATTTGTTAGTAGCACCAAATTTGATATCATCAACATATATTTAAACCAGTAAAATATAATGCTCAATTTTCTTGATAAATTGGATTTTATCAACTTGTCCTCTTTCAAATTATTTTCAAGCAAAAATTTACTTAGTCTTTCGTACCATTCTCTAGAAGCTTATTTCAGACCATACAATGCCTTATTGAGCTTGAAAACATGGTCTAGAAAGGTAGGGTTGATAAATAAAATAGGTTGTTAAGCGAATACCCTCTCTTGAATGTAACCATTTAGAAATGCACTTTTACACCCATTTGAAACAATTTGAAATTCAAGATGCAAGAGAAAGCTATAACATCCTTATTAATTCTAATCTAGCTACATAAGCATACATTTCATCGAAATCTATTCTCTCTTATTGATTATATCCTTTCACAATGAGTCTGGCTTTATTTCTTAAAACATTTCCTTCTTTATCCAGCTTGTTACGAAACACCCATCAGGTTCCTATTACTAGATTAACTAAAGCTTTGGTAACGAGTTTCCAAATGTTGTTTCGATCAAATTGATTTAACTTTTCTTGCATAGCAAAAGACCAATGTTCGCTGACTATGACTTTGTTGATTTCCTATGGCTCAATTTTTGAAACAAAATCCACAAAATTACATACCTTGTTGAGTGATCGTCTAGTGGTGATTCTTTGGACATGTCTCCGATAACATTCTGTATTAGATGATTTTGTTAGTCTCCATTCTTTTGGGAGATCTGGATTTTCTTGTGGAGTGATTAAGATTTAATCCTAAATTGATTCTATTTCTATGATTTGATTATTATTATTATTTTAATCTTGATTCAGTTCTTAATCGTCTCCCGGACTTGTCTTTTCTAGCATACCTGCACAATCAACAACTTCCATTTCTACAATTTTGGAGTTAGTTTCGCCAAAAGTAACATGAATTGATTCATGAGTTGTTTTAGTTCTTATATTATAGACTGTAAAAGCTTTGCTCGAAATGAAATATCCTATGTATATGCCTTCATCAGCCCGTACGTCGAACTTTCCAAAATTATCTTTCTTGTTATTATGGATGAAGCATTTACATCCAAAAATATGAAGGTAAGAGATATTTGACTTTCTTTCTTTATATAGCTCATAGGACGCCCACTTTAGAGTCGATCGTATCAAAACACGATTCATGACATAACAAGCGGTATTTATATCATCAGCCTAGAGGTATTTATTAAGATTGATCTTATTGAGCAGCGTTTTCGCAAGCTCTACTAGAAATCTGCCTTTTCTCTCTACTACTCCATTTTGTTGAGGATTTCGTGGAGTGAAAAAGGTTTGCGAATACCATTATGGTACATACTCAATCTTGAAAGTCGAAGCAAGGACCCTAAATAGTAAGAACCCTCTCTTGTAAACACTGATTTGAATGAATGGAAAATTATAATGCTAGGTTAGATCGTATGCATTTAAGCAGTTAAGGTTTAAATCTTTGCTGCAGCAACAGCATCAGCATATAGGCTCTATGCAGGTGTGGAATTTCTATGAAACTTCGAATTAAATATTTTACTCTGAAATTTTGGGGTTTCCTTTTGTTCCCATTTGATTGATATTTGATACTGATTTGTTACATTTTAGTTGTTGCTTATTGACTCACAATACTTGTAATCAACAAAATAAAGTTTTTTTAATGACCGAATTAATAATTGTGGAAAAAGATGATTTCTGGTAACATTAATTTCTGCATGTGGAAATTTGGAGATTGTCACATTTTGAAGGAAGTTTCACAACAATAGTCTTTGGTCAATGGATGTGTAATAAACAAACACATTACCAATTTTATAAGTTTCCCTTCTCTTATTTAACTGCAAACACATAAACTCCTCCTTATTCTTAATCTATTCACATGGCTTTGCTGCAATCACCAAAGTCCTCTTCTTTTTCCTATGGATTCACCTACGATGTCTTCCTTAGTTTCAGAGGCCCTGACACTCGCTACGGTTTTACTGGAAATCTTCACAAAGCTTTATGTGATACTGGAATCCGCGCCTTCATTGATGATAGAGAGCTTGAGGGAGGTGATGACATTAAAACCTCACTTTCTGAGGCCATTCAAGACTCTAGAATTGCCATTCTTGTATTCTCTGCCAACTATGCTTCTTCTTCCTTTTGTTTAGACGAACTTGTCCACATCATTCAGCACACTCACAACTGTCAATTCTGTATTTCAAGCGCCTCCTAATCAAAATTCACTCACATTGCAAGATCCGCAAATGCAACTACGGCCGCAAGTGCAATTTAAAACTGTAGTTCAAAAATAAATTGGCAATAATATAATTATCAATAGAAAACATATGGGGCATGCCTAGGATATACTTTCCAATGTTCCTGATATACTTCTTGATACTGATTCTTTTACTGAAACAATTATTTGTTTGGACAGGAATGAATATGAATACAATTTAATTGGGGAGATAGTAAAAAAAGTCACCAACAAGATCAATCGTGTTCCTTTGCATGTTGCAAATTATCCTGTTGGACTCCAGTCTCGATTACAAAAAGTAAATTCACTTTTTGATGTTAGATTTGATGATAAAGTCCAAATGTTAGGGATATATGGAATTGGAGGATTGGGAAAAACAACACTTGCTCGGGCAATTTACAACTCCATGGCTGATCAATTTGAAGTGTTATGTTTTCTTCATAACGTGAGAGGAAATTCAGCTAAATATAACTTGGAACGTCTCCGGGAGATGATCCTTTCCAAAATAAAGGGACCAGAAATTCGGCTAGGAGATGTAAGCGAGGGGATTCCAATCTTAAAGCAAAGGCTACATTGCAAGAAGGTTTTGTTGGTTCTCGATGATGTTGATGATCTGAAGCAGTTGCAGGTTTTTAGCTGGAGGACTTGATTGGTTTGGTCTTGGGAGTGTAGTAATTATTACCACTCGAGACAAACATTTGCTAGCAAATCATGGGATTGAAAGAACATATGAAGTAGATAAGTTAAATCAGGAAGAAGCTCTGGAATTGTTGAAGTGGAACTCATTTAAAAATAAAACAATTGATTCAAGTTTTGAAGGCATTTTAAAACGTGCAACAACTTATGCTTCTGGATTATTCATTTTAATTTTATTTATGCAGAAGTTAACGAATCTCAAAAGTTTTGAACTTTAAAGATTCTGGATATTTAACGCATATACCTGATATATCGAGTCTATCAAACTTAGAAGAATTTTCGATAAAAAATTGTGAGAATTTAATTACAATCCACAATTCTGTTGGGCACTTGAATAAACTCAAAGACTTGAATGCTAAGGGTTGCATCAATCTCCAGAGTTTTTCCACCCTTAAAGTTGACCTCTCTTCAAAAATTGCAACTTTCAGGTTGTGAGAGTCTTAAGAGTTTTCCAGAAATATTAGGGGAGATGCAATATATAGTAATCATTAAATTGCGTGAAACTTCCATAGAAGAATTTCCACTTTCATTTCAAAATCTCACTGGCCTTGGCCATTTAAAAGTAGTTGGAAATGGAAGGCCCTAGATTATCGAGTAGCAATCTTATGATGTCAAGTTTATGGAGTGTTATTGTTGAAAATTGCCATCTATTATTGCTTATTACTTATAGAAAGTGGAATCCACATATTCAAAGAGAAAAATAGCATGGAGAATATTCGATTTACCAATCCTTATAAAAAGAATTGATTTGTAGATGCAGAGACAAATTTGTAGGAAATTTAGATACAAATTTGTATTCATGTATTAGCAGGG